GTCTTGATCCAGAACTTGAATTTTGGGTACATATCCATATTAAAGATCTGATTTGTTTGTATGCAGACTGTTCCTTGACTCTCAGGCAGACGCACAATGACTTTTAAAAAAAAAACACACCCCTAACCAGTTGTCTCCGACGACATGCATGTTGCACCTGTGGGAGGAGTCTTTTCTTTGTTCTCCAAAATGTAGCCCTGGGACCCACAAGTGACGTTTCTAGAAACATGTATTTTAGAAGTTTCTAGAAACATCTATTTTAGAAGTTTCTAGAAACAAGTATCTTAGAAGTTTCTAGAAACATGTATTTTAGAAGCTTCTAGAAATATGTATTTACAACAGAAATGCAAAAATGAAGCAGCTTCACAAATCCTAATTAAAAAAAAAAAACTTTTTAATTTTTTAAAAAGATGACTTGAATAACAAATAAAATAAATTACAAATTTTAGTCAGTGTATATATTTTGTTGCTGAGTTATTCAACCAAATTTGCAAAATAAAAATCTTAAAGAGAAAAAAAATGCCCTATAACATAAGGATCTGGTTGCAATTTGGTAATATTAGTTGTAAATATAATTTCTTCCCTGCTGGCCTCAAGAGCTTTGGTTCAAATCTGCCTCAAAGTAGATTTTTTATAACTAGCCTAAGACTTTGAGGCTGAGGCTGGCCACATCAAGCGCCAACCAGTCCGTATAAATATGGGTTATTAACTCCATACCCAGTGCACCAATGGAAGGGAGGGGGGGGGGGGGGGGGGGAGAAGGCCTTTACATTATTTGAAACAATAATATACAGCAATGTGTTGATAATTATGCCTGTTTATTATTTAAACATAAACATGCCCATCTTATTAACATTCACGTATCGTGCTGAAAAGTGTGGTGAGAAATGATTCGTAATCAATCACCAGATGTATGTTCTCACCATGTGCATACCATGTGACCAAGCCATCCAAATATTTATCCCTCCTATGCCCTTGATCAAATTAAAATTAGTCAGTTGGTCATTAACTCTTTCATTACCAAGGACCTCACTATATGCTCATTGCTTGCACTATACATGAAACACATTTATTTACTTCTACCCTATTCACGTCTCATTAAACCCCTTATGTTTTAGTTCTCTCCTAAAACTGTATTCTTCATCTTAAGGGGACCCAAATAAACTTGTTTTGGGATACAAAATCTTTAGCACAGACACTGTTGAATTCTACACTATCTATGAATAAAAGAGCTAAGTTTTTAGGCTGATTTCATCCCATAACATGTCCGGACAATATTGGCTGTCTCTGTCTATTTAACCCTTTGGCCCCACAAATGCTTAAAGAATGGGTCATGAACCCACAGGAATCCCACCCCCCAATATCTTAAAGAAAACAACCATTTTAGACAGGTCACTAAAAAATGAAATAAAAAAATTTGTTTGTCTCTACCGCAAAATATACACATCTAGCATGAGAATGGAGGCGGAGGCAGTAACTGCAGCTCTCCAGTGGCTAGAGAACAAGATGCATTCACATGTCGTAACTGTAAAGACTCTGAAAGCATGTTGAAAAAGGTGAAGACAGGGATGCTTCGAGCAGAGTGGCAAGCTTCACTGGAAAGGTCACGGGTAGTGAGCATACATTGGATCTTTTCTCCAGGCTATGCCGGCGTGGTGGGTAATGAACAGGCAGACAGATTGGCTGGATCTGCACCACTTGGTGGTGAATTGATACATGACAAGGCAGGTGTGGTCAAGACCCTTTGGGAACAAACAATGGAACCAGTAGAGAAAGAAGATTATTATGGCCTGGAGAGAATGAGACACCTGTGTATAACCAGAGGGTCTAGCCGGCTGACTACACTTAGAGGAAAGGCAAGACGAACATTCAGCCAGATTGTGACCGGTACCATCAGTATTGGAACTCGGCGCTGGCTGCTGAAGATGAGGACAGAGCGTGAATGGGAATGCCCTGAGAAGTGCTGTGATATCAATTCTTGACTCAACTCAACACTCCAAAATATATAAAGATATATAAAGGAAGTAATCAAAAGGCACAAACAGTGTGATAAAGCATTAAATGGAGTACAATCCCCGGGGGCCTACAAAATCTATCACCTGACCTCTATCAGTAAGGCTACGAGAAAATTTGACATGGCTTTAAAAAAAAAGCTATTTGGGTCATGAGAAAACCCCTTAAATTAATCAGATTTTTTTTTCTAGTGAATATAGTGCTAAATATGCCATGCTGGTTTCACAGCCTGTACGGGGGCTTCTCGGGGTGATCTGGTTAATCAACTCATAGTATTAGCTGGTTCCAATAAGTTTATAATTTACAGTCCGTCAGTTTGAACAATGTCATCCCATTGTGGGGAAAACAAGAATAGACCCACTGCCTCCCAAGCATGTCGTAGGAGCTGACTTATTGGGGACTTCATTCGAAGTCGGAGTGCATCTGCCCAAGTGGCAAGAAACAATCAACTGCAAACAAATAATCTAGTAAATCGGATGCACACGCAAAACTCAGGATTTGGCACAAAGCCAAAGTCCAAATGGACGAACAACCAGGACTTTCTGCCGGAGCTTACAGCAGGTAAGAAAAGAGAAGAAGAAGAATACTGTCATTTATTTATCTTTAAAACGGTAAATTATTCATGAAAATATTAAAAATTAATTCAGAGACAAAATGACATCTTAAGAGAGCATTAACAAAGTTGTCATTTAGTTATGCAAGGAAAAAAACTGACCCTGTCACTGTATTCATGCAAATCCTGGGGTTAATAATGTACCTAGAAATACATATGATCATATAGTATGATCACATAACAAACTATAGTAATTAGAGGTATGTGCGTATAAACCAGTGATTAAACTTCTCTAAAAAAAAAAGTGTCAAAGAAAGAAAATCCAGTAAATCCATCTTTAAAAAAAAATAAAAAGCCAAAATATAATGGAACAAATGCCTTACATTAAATTAAAAAAATCAGGTGAACTGCTCTTGCACGAAGGTAAAAAGAACCATAAGTAACAAGCAGCATTATAAAGTATTTTACTCCCAATGATTGTGAGAGAATTCACGTGTGCCTACTTCTAGGAGTTCAAAAATACTTCAACTGTATGGGTAAAATGCTACGGCAGCTTTACCATTTCTACCAGTTCATTTAAACCAGTGGTGGTAAAACCTTTTTTTTTAATAGTCTGCCGGATAAATTTAGGATCGCCAGCCTGATAAGGGGCAATATAGAACCATTATAAACATAACACCAAGATTTAACTATAACAGATTTATGTGGGATTGTCTAAGATTTTAATCTCCCGCTACACCTCTGGCCAGACACACTCACCTACTGAAGAACTTCTTTCTTTTTTTAAACGTGTCTGTTCAAGCTGGTTTGTGCTCTGCTATTTTATAACCTCAAAGGCCACATTATATAACAGTAACTTTACACTAGCAAGATCACGAGGCTGACCAAGAACAACATGGACAGATTACATCAACAACAGCACGATGTGTATATCGTTGAGGCGGCCAGAACAGCAAAATCATATATCCTCCCCAACACCCCACGCTGTAAACAAGGAAGTGAAGGACAATAAAGTGTTAGATCAAGGAATGGAAACGCCAAACCCTTGCCGTAAAACAACAAAGTAGACTAGTAACCTCAAGGGGAACTCGGTACAAACGAGAATAAATGGACAAACTGTATGTCAGAATAGACTGTCTTTATGGCTTTCAATGTACAAGAGGCATACAGTGACGAGATTGGGGGCTTACCGCATAATATCCTAATATTCCCAATGACAATACCAGATGCACAAAGTCACGACTGCCAACCTCGACTGCAGACACAGTAAACAAGTGTGCACATGTGGGGTGTCCTAAGCAGAGCAGGGTACCTCTATTGTTGTGACAGGTGGTTAGTTTTTTTCAAAGGCAGAGGTCCCAAACTACACATGTGAACGTGGAAATCAAAGGAAAACCTCCCCATTTTCTTCCCAAGATTAATTTTACAAGCAGATCACAAATCTGGAATACATTATATGGGTTTCCTCTGATTTTAAAATCATTATGATAAAATACATCAACTCATAATGAATCCCCCTGTAGGTTGTGGGCCCCGCCCCATCTTAGGAGGACAAGAATAGACCCACTGCTCGGGGGGGAGGTTGCTGTACCTAGATGTGTTTGACAGAAAGGTGTAGATATCACAGCCTGGTTGTTAATTAGAGAACAGCATTGTCAACCCCCATTTTAATGACACACATAAGAGAAGAAAAATAATGACAAGATTAATGCTGGAATGGCATGACATGTTCACAGACTTCACACCAGTCTTAGAACTTTATGTTTTGTCATGATGTGTTCCTGAGCATGTTATCTCAGTGTGCAACATCAATATATTAATTTCATGTGATCTATTTATTTGTCTGCAAACAGGCTGTGTGAGGTAGCCCCACATGATCTATATTAACTACTTCATAAACAGGCTGTCTGAGGTAGCCCCAAGTGATCTATACTTATTACTTTATAAACAGGCTGTGTGAGGTAGCCCCACATGATCTATATTTATTACTTCATAAACAGGCTGTCTGAGGTAGCCCCAAGTGATCTATACTTTATAATCTGGCTTTCTGAGGTAGCCCCACATGATCAATACTTACTTTATAAACAGGCTGCCTGAGATAGCCCAACATGAATTGTTTATTACTTTATATATCATCCACAGATGAAATGATATGGGCAAGAACGTGTGAATGAGAAATTAAGTGTGGATCCGGCAAGGAGGGACGGATGAGAGGAAGTGATCGGCATGTGTATATTTAGTGTGCTACGAGAACAGTTAACATCTACACCTTACGTCATTTGCTGTGGGAGACAGAGCATCTGTGGGTATGCTCGGTGTGCTATGATGTTGATTCTTAAATTCTTACTTAATAAACAGGCTGTCTTGAGAGATAAACAGTCAAGAACTGAATGTGTGCGGGGTAGCCAAAAAACATATTGTGGACTGAGTGATATCAGAAAAACAAAAACTTGCGGCAGTTGGTGGCTCCACACAGGCAAGCCATGCTAAAATGTGACTTGCGACTCATCTGTGCCACAGCATTGCCATTCTCATCTGCAAGAGACTGGGAGTCTGAGCTAGGAGTTGGGAGATCACCCCATGAGTTTATGTCATTTTGCTGTTCTGCAACTTCTTCACTGGGTTCAGTGTTTCCCCTTTCTAAAATCTCCTGCAGTGACTGTGTGAGGGATTGTTGAACATCTCCTAGATCAGCGACCAGTGTCTCTGACTGTTCTGACTTAGCCATGTTCAGGCTGCTTGATTCAACTATCGCAGCCAACTGTGCCCTGGCCGTCTGATCGCTAGTAATGAACTCTGTATCATGTGAGTGGCTGCAATCTTGTATATCACTTGGCCTGTCGTGCAGCAAGTTTCCTGGACAACAAAAACAAAGATCGTTAAATTATTATATTTAAAGTTCAAACAGACAATTTCACAGCCCTCGGATTTCTACTTCCACAGATAATTTTTTCTTTCTTTTTTAAACTGCTCTCATGGAGCTATACGAGTCTCATCAAGGAAGAGATTCAGATCTTGCCATGCAATATTCCTGAACTTATTGACAACATTTTAGGAATTTGGTATTTAGAACATAAAACTAACAAATATGTCAGAGACAAAATAAACAAATTGGCAAGACATCGGGAGCATCTCTTGACAGCAGTTAAACATCGCAAGCTAGCATGGTTTGGGCACGTGGTGAGACATAATATGATTGCACAGACTGTACTTCAAGGAACATTAGAGGGGTAGTAGAAGAAAAGGAGAGAAAAGAAGAATATGGAAAGAGGACATCGAGAAATGGAGAGTACCTGGTACAATAACCCTCTCTCTTTTACCTTTAAAAAATACAGTCATGTCATCTTCCTCTGGAACATCCACCTAATTCTCCAAATCCTACATTCCAGCCTGAATTTCTTAGAACTCTTGTAGAATCACTTATTCTGGTCTCTCACGCCCAGCAAAAAAGCGCTCAACTGGGGCACATTTTTGGAGCAGGTCTTAATATTAAAAGCATCCTGACAAATCATGCTAGGGCTTATTTTAGGGGTATGTTTTATTTTCAGGGAAATACAGTAGTACCCATGACAGACTGGGAGCCCTAGATAAAATATAAACTATCCTGATGCAGACTTTAACCCAATACCTTTAGATCGGCAGGCAAGCGTCTAGCCACTGCTATGCTGCAGTCCTAACCTGCAAGAACAGTGGGGGGAAATGTTTACATTCTAAAAGACATACATGCAAAACACTGGTGCATGTCAAAAGTGGATGCAGTCATCCTTATAATGTCACATGCTTAACAACAACACTGACAGGTTACAAAACAATGACAGGGTCATTGTAATTTCTATCACACTTTTAAGGTTTTCACTTGAAGCTCCCTGTAGCGAGCTGCCTAGAAAGAAAACACAGGAGAGGGCTCTGCCGGCCAGAGAACTCACCACTCATGTAGTCAAAAGTCAGCTCCTCATTGCACTCTATGTCACGCTTGGCATACAGACAGATGTGGGGTAGCTGTGGATCCAGGGTGTTGATCCAGACCACGTGCACTTCTAGGTTTGGGTTGCACTGTTGAGAGAAAGACAAAATGAAGATTAAAAAATATATTGCAGGGTCTTCTTCTTCTTAGCATTTACCAGCAGTGAGTTCTGGTTCTTTGCCTGATTCTGGGCTTCAGTCTTGTTCCAGAAGTAGAATTTTGCGTGCACAACCGTTTTACAGATCTAGCAGACTGTTGCTTCCCCACCTCTCAGGCAGATGCACTCTGACTTCAAAGGAAAAGACTATAATCAGTCGCCTACATGCTTGTAGATGGTTTAGGGGAGCAGTGGAACTGTTTTTATTTTCTTTAAAATAGCGTCCTGGAAACCAACAAAGGGACAAAGCTATAACGCATGGTCTTATGTACGGAACATACACTCAGGCATAATTTCAATCTCTGAGCCTGTGTTGTGTCATTGTTTTTCTTCTCTCATGTGTGTCATTTAAATGGGGGTTGACAATGCTGTCCTCTAATTAACAGCCAGGCTGTGATATCTACACCTTTCTGTCAAACACATCTAGTTACAGCAACCCCCCTCCCCCCTTAGCAGTGGGTCTATTCTTGTCCTCCCAAGATGGGGCGGGGCCCACAACCTACAGGGGGATTCATTATGAGTTGATGTATTTTATCATAATGATTTTAAAATCAGAGGAAACCCATATAATGTATTTCCCTAAAAATAAGATGCCCTTATTTTCCAAATTTATAGGGTCTAAACAGTGTGTAGTACAAGGGTAGTAGATTTTTACCTAACGATTTGTTAGAAAAATACCCTGTACAATGCCTCACTTGGGAATGCCAGTTTAGAAGCGGCATAAAATTGTTTTTTTTTTTAAATATTAAAAATAAGTTATTTTCTGCTTTAATAATAGTTTTCACGCTTGTCATCACACTCACTGTTTTGCACTTTGTTACATTAGCAATCCTTGTATCTACTAAGGTTCAACCATTTAATGTCAGCATTAACAAATTCTTCAAAGTTGCCAGAAGAGACGACTGAAACCAACGGATGAAGTTTTCTGGTGACAATGTGGCTATAGCAGGTAGTGTGAAGAAATCAACTATAGAAGTTTGTGCCTTGATTAAAAGATCCTGGAATAATGTGAAGATTGAGACCGTTGTCAAGTCATTCAAGAAGTGAGGCATTTCAAATGCCACAGATGGAAATGAGGATGAAGCAATACATAAAGACCGCGATTTGTCATCAGACATAGACAAGCTAAAGAGCTATCATATGGACGAGAGTTTTAACAATAATATTTTGGTTGTTAGCCCACTTCTTGACTTTGGTCTTGTTTCAGAATTTGAGTTTTGCATGCACATCAATTTTACAGCTCTGGTTTCAAATGCAGATTGTTGGTTCCTCTCCTTTCATGCAGATGCACTCCGACTTCAACTGAAACACCCCTAATTAGTCATGTTTTATGACAATGCATGCTAGAGAGATAGCAGTTTATTCTCTTTTCTAATCAGAAGAAGACGCCAAAACCCACACAAGGAGAACTGTATACAAGCATGCACACACAGGATCTTACCGAATGGTTTATAAAATGAGCAGCGTTGCCATGTGTGCCTGCATCTACGGAATAAGGGGCGTCATCATCGTGAAAATCTAGGTCAAACAAATATGTGCGGCCAACTGCATCATATTCTTTCCCACGACGTTCAGCTTCTTCATTGGTAATGACCTGGTTAACAGAGAAAACAAGTTCAATGGAGTTAACTATAAGTTTAAACAAACAAAAACAAAAAAAACTTTTTAAAGGCTCTAATTGTAAACTGAGGCCCTGTTAGGGTATATTTTCGGCCTCGATTCTCTAGGACCGTTATTCGGAGGATAGCCTTTTCTTGTCTTCTAAAGACAATGTCCTGACAGCATAGCATTGGTAGGAACAAATGTATATGATGTATACTCTGGGTTGGTTGGCACACACTGAGAACTGCAATTCCCAAGTGGTGCGCTGAACGGGACAGAATAAGTTGATACATTTTCCATCTGCTGTTTTCAGAAAGCGAAGATACTTAAAAATGTAGTCTTCTTTTATATATCTACTCTGTACGCTGAAAAAAAAAATTTAAAGCTATTCCTTTCATACATTCTTTTTTTTTTTTTTTAAATCTGCCACGTTTTCTTTGATCCTATGGGTTCTTCTTTTTCTGCCTTTTATCCCCCAATGGAGCATAGGCCATCAACCAACTCACACCAAGTCATTGTATCCTTCGCTTTTGCATACTGTTTAAACCATCTTTTTAACTTCACTCTCTAGCTCTCTTTTCCGTGTGCTTATGGTCTTCCTTTCTTTCGATGCCCCTGTGGGTTCCAGTGCAAAGACATTCTAGTTATATTGTTCTCAGGTTTTTTCAACGTGTGTCCTATCCAACGGCAGCACCTTTTCTTCACCTCTTGGTCCAGTAGAACTTTATTTTCTCCCAAAGCTCTACATTAGTTATTCTATCATACCACTTTATTCTTTCCTTTCTGTGCGGGCACCAGTTAATGAATGTTTGTAGTTTATTAGTGATTGTCTTAGCTGTTCCCCAACCTATGGGTTCTAGTGCAAGGTTACAGTAAAGGTAAAGGACCCTTTTCCACACCTTTACGTGCAGAGGGCATATAGGGCTAGACCTATATTTTATAGACTAATTGGCACAAGATGGGTGATGTGGTCAGCATCACGCCGGCTGCCTCTACTTCCCAGGACTGCACCAGGTGCCCACTCAAGGCTGGGTCCAGTTTGGAGCCAAGGTCATTTAAAAAAAAAAAGTCCGGCTCCCCCAGGGAGCAAACCCACCACTTTCCGTTCCGCAGAGAGTGTCCAACTGCTCAGCCAAGGCGACTCCCCTTGTGCAAGTATGTCAACAAATATACCACATATTTTAAATGTGGAAGTTAGACGGAATTAAGTTTTCTCCAGATTCTTCTTCTGCGTTCAGCCTTAAAAGGCCAGCTGGTATGATGAGTTATGGTTTACTACAGCTGGTATGATGAGTTATGGTTTACTACAGCTGGTATGATGAGTTATGGTTTACTACAGCTGGTATGATGAGTTATGGTTTACTACAGCTGGTATGATGAGTTATAGTTTACTACAGCTGGTATGATGAGTTATGGTTTACTACAGCTGGTATGATGAGTTATAGTTTACTACAGCTGGTATGATGAGTTATGGTTTACTACAGCTGGTATGATGAGTTATGGTTTACTACAGCTGGTATGATGAGTTATGGTTTACTACAGCTGGTATGATGAGTTATAGTTTACTACAGCTGGTATGATGAGTTATAGTTTACTACAGCTGGTATGATGAGTTATGGTTTACTACAGCTGGTATGATGAGTTATAGTTTACTACAGCTGGTATGATGAGTTATGGTTTACTACAGCTGGTATGATGAGTTATGGTTTACTACAGCTGGTATGATGAGTTATAGTTTACTACAGCTGGTATGATGAGTTATAGTTTACTACAGCTGGTATGATGAGTTATGGTTTACTACAGCTGGTATGATGAGTTATGGTTTACTACAGCTGGTATGATGAGTAATAGTTTACTACAGCTGGTATGATGAGTTATAGTTTACTACAGCTGGTATGATGAGTTATGGTTTACTACAGCTGGTATGATGAGTTATGGTTTACTACAGCTGGTATGATGAGTTATGGTTTACTACAGCTGGTATGATGAGTTATGGTTTACTACAGCTGGTATGATGAGTTATGGTTTACTACAGCTGGTATGATGAGTTATGGTTTACTACAGCTGGTATGATGAGTTATGGTTTACTACAGCTGGTATGATGAGTTATGGTTTACTACAGCTGGTATGATGAGTTATGGTTTACTACAGCTGGTATGATGAGTTATGGTTTACTACAGCTGGTATGATGAGTTATGGTTTACTACAGCTGGTATGATGAGTTATAGTTTACTACAGCTGGTATGATGAGTTATAGTTTACTACAGCTGGTATGATGAGTTATAGTTTACTACAGCTGGTATGATGAGTTATAGTTTACTACAGCTGGTATGATGAGTTATGGTTTACTACAGCTGGTATGATGAGTTATGGTTTACTACAGCTGCGTTTGATATCTGCCCCTTTAGGCTCGACACATCCCATATGTGAAAATCTTTATTTATTCTTCTTCTTCGCGTTCACCAGCTGTACCTCCGGCGGAAAGTTCTGGTTGTTCATTCACTTTTGGACTCTAGTTTATTTCCAGAAACAGTGTTGAGTAGAAGACTAACCACCTGTGAAATGAGATGTTTGAGAATGGCTGCGAATAAAACCAGAAGAGATCGAGTGAGAAACGATGTGATTACAAGAACTACTGGAACCATACCCATCGTTAAATTTATTGAGATGCAAAGAATGAAATGGTTTGGTCACCTAATGAGAATGGAACCAACGATGCCAGCATCAAGAGCATACAACATGAAAATCGAAACACCAAGAGGCAGGGGAAGACCAAGAAGAAGATGGATTAAAGGAGTCACGGACAAGTTGAGACTTCATTACATCACGGCATATGAAGCGACTGAGCGCGCCCTGGCTCGGTTGCCGATCATCTGATAGACTGCGACGCCTAGCGGCACAAGCAGATTTTGACAAAAGAAAGAAGTGTTGAGTACACGTCCGTTTCACAAGTCTGACTCATTTGCATGCAGACTGCTAGTTCCTTGCCTCTCAGGCAGATGTACTCCGACTTTGAAGGAAGCTCCTAATTAGTCGACTCTTACAACATGCTTTTGGGTAGGCAGTTGTCTATTCTCGTTTCGCCTATAAAACGGCCCCACAGGGAGAACAAGTATCCAAAACATGCTGAGTGGTGCAGATGAGTAATACCTGGTACAGACAGTGTGTTGTTTGGGACTGAAAGCCCTAAAGAACCAATCTGGATTACCAGGTTAACCCAGCCTGAAATGGGCACCAGGAAATGTGGGAAGTAAAAAGCTGCAAGCACAGTGTTGACTACTTCACCCAATGAGTGTCACGTGTTCTAAATACAAAATGTAGGTTTAGCACCATATAGCGTGAAAAGGTTATTTCAATTTTTAACCGGATCTTTGATCTTGGGGGTGGCGGCACTGTGGGAGAAACAAGAACAGACCCACTGCCTAACCAACAGGGAAAAAAAGTATGTCATAAGTGGTGACAAACTGGGAGCTTTTTTTCAGATTGAATCTGCCTGCGAGGCAAGGAAACAACAGTCTGCATACAAATAAGTCAGATCTGTAAAACACAGGTGCACACAATCAGGTTCTGGAACAAGACCAAAGCCTAGAGCTGGATGAACAACCAGAACTTTCTGCTGGAATTTACAGCCGGTGAACGCGAAGAAGAAGATATATTTCACCCTATTCTTTCTGGCAGGAAAAATGACTCAAAACGATTCAAAAATGATATCAAAACATTCAAAAAATTGTAAACAACAAATCTCTGCCTACCTCACCAACATACTCCATGATAAATGCCCCTTTCTTGACCTTCTGTAAAGTCTTCACTCCCCATCCCCGTCCATTTGGTGTTCGAAATATGCAGATTTTAACTTTTCTTCCCTTTTGAACAACTCTGTTCATACAATCCGGCCCACATTTGCAGCGTATGTTACACTCATATATTGGCACACCCTGGGATACTCGCAGACGGCCGTTAGATTTGTAATACGCCAGGACAGACCCAGCGGCCACCACACAGCAGCCCTTTCTGTTTTGATAACAATCCTCACAGTCACAGCCAATGAGAGGATCTTTCGGGATCACAACTCCTGGTCCTTCTTTTCGCTCGTTAATGTAGATAAAATCCTCAGGCGGACCCTCAAGGTCAACATTATTCTCGACAGCAAGAGGTGCTGGATCGTAGCCCCTGCTGATACTATTGAGCTTATCCTGCCAGGCTTTGAGAGCTCTCGTAGCTTCCTGCCTTAATACTTTTTGGCTGACTTTTCTCTTTCTTATTCTTAATTTTGGCTGGTACTGCACTATCATTCCATTAGAGCTGCTCTTCCTCTTATTTGCATTGTAAGACCTGATTATATCCAGAGGAGAAATGATGTCCAATATTTTGGATTCCATAAGTTTCTGGAAAAATTCATCTATCTTGGTTTTTTTTAAACTATACAGGTCTTCTTGTTTTGGATCTGGGAATTTCTTTTTCTGATGCTGGCCTGTGTTCATCAGTTTTTTGTAGTCTTGAAGAAGATCCTCACAGCACAGATTTTGTTCCGGCTCCCAGGTGTTGTGTTCATGACCCCAGCCGACCCATTTTATGAGGTAGTACATCTGGCCCTGAAAGAAACCAGAAATATGACAAACCAATGTAAATTTGTTAGGAAATCATGATCACAAGAAGTTAAAACAAAACAAAAATACTTGGGTGTATTAATAAATCATAAGACCTCCATTACATCAAGCGGCACTATATTTTTTGCTTACCCCATGACGTCACGGGAGACAGCCAAATAATTTCCATGTGGTACGGTTTTTTTCTTCCATTTCTAGAGTGCATCACAAAAGCGTGTGCTTGGCGCCTCTTATGACGTGTGTTTGCTGGCTGCTTCAGCAGTTTTCATCTTTGCCACATCTTGTTGCAGCAGTTTTAATCATTGTTTGCCGTTCCAGCAGTCGCCATGAATTATCTACAATTAGTAGCATCTGCAAGACAAGGAGAACAGCACTGCCTTCCTGCAACAGCATGGCATTCTGCACAGAACGAGACATTGCAGAAACAACCATCAGATGGTGTTATCGCTGTCGGAAATACAAGACCGCTGGCAGTCTCGAAAGTCTACCTGTCATCTGGACATACCAGTACGGCAAGGAACATGACTGGAAGGGTCGCGACTCCCGTACAGACAGATCATTCTGTTTATATAGTGCTGGTCTCATGAAATGACATTCAATTTTGCCAAGTACAACCGAGCATGTCACCGACTGCGACTGTGGAATGGAGCAACTACTTATGGGAGGTTTGTGCCAATACATTGTTACTGAATCCTGCAGTGATCGGCGGCAGAGAGAACTCCACTGTTAAAATTGTATATATTCGCGCATAAACCCTGCAGTATACATCTAGAATGATTGGCCCCCACAGTATCCCAATCTGCAATTCCTGCGATTGCACATCGAGTTCACATAGCCAAAGTGTAAAATTTGCATTTAAAAAAAAAAAAACCATTTACATTTAATTTTTTTTAAAAAGGAATTACCCCAAAAAAAAAAATATTTAAACAGGGATTGAATGCTGCCCCTTTCATTTATAAGGTGGATGTGATACCAACTACGCTACATATTTACATGACAAAATGATCTGAAAACATGACTTGTATTGTTCACCAGCCAAAATGATCTGAAAACATGACCGGTATTGTACACCAGCCAATAGACAATCAACAAGCAGACAGAAATATGCCACCAAAAATAATAGAAGAGCAAACAACAGCAGGAGCACACTTGCACCCCTTGAAATAGTGGACAGTCCAGTCAGCTGTGGAATTCCCATGGATTCCCTCTGGGGTAAGTAATAAATAAAGCACCTCATAAAGTTCCTATAAAACTTAACTGTCATTGATTATCTTTTCAGCACAAAAAAAGTTTACGGAGTGGGATAATCAATCATGTTAACTTTCCTAACACTTTTACTACTCCTGAATTCATTTTTAAAATCCTGGATTCCTAGGCAATTTAAATTCTGACATTTTTATCAACAAATCCCAGAAATGTTAAACTCCTAAGTAAGAATAGATGGGCCTCTAAAGTGGCTAGGGAGCTGCATAAATGTAGTGGCTAAACACCTGGCTGTCAGTCTGAAGGTCTTCGGCTCAAATCCACATCTCAGCGGATTTTTTTAAAACCCGACCTAGACACCCAGCCTAAAGTGGGTACCAGGTAATGTCCAGGGAAGTAAAGTTGGCCGGTGTGATTCTGACACACCCCACCATGATACTGACCTTCTACTTCAAAAATATCTCACAGCCACAGTTTAACTGTGATACAAAAAGCCATACTGGACATTGTTATGCTTACATTACTGAGGACCAACGGAAATTCATTGTCTGGCTGGCTGTTGTTGTTTGTCCATCATAAGTGATGATGACCAGTCCTTTCATCCAATGGTGACTGGGTTAGGTTTTGTTGAGTGCGCAGATGGTTGATAAGGCCAATTCTAGCACTGAAAGTTCTTGAGCAATGTGGGCAAAGAATAGAATTTGCATCTGTCTGGTGATTTGCTTCGGTGTCTTTCCTGACGTGTCTTTTCTGAATTGCTGCTGCAGTTCTAGCAGCTTCATGGGCCACAGCTCCTCGATGAAGAGAGGTGCACCAGGATGAGAGGTCACATGCAGCGACTTCCCGGGTTTTAGGATCAAAACAGAAGTCTTTCAGTGAGGTCTTGAGGCTGTCCTTGAAACCTTTTTTCTGTCCCCCTTGAAAGCATTTTCTCTTTAGTAGCTCACCACAGAAAATTCTTTTTGGCAGTCAGTGGTCAGGCATGGCAGGCTATATGACCTGCCCAGGGAAGTTGTGATTGTTTTAGAATCTAGTAACTACTGGACAGTCCAGCTCCGTCAAGGACTTCAGTGTCAGGGATCCTGTCTTGCCATTTAATGTTCAGCAACTTTCTGAGGCATACTGTGCGAAAATGGTGCAGCTTCTTAGCATGGCTGGCTGGAAACCCACCCTGGCAGGAGGGGGTGTTGTCCACTTCTAGACTTTGTTCGTGTTAAAGGACTTTAGTTTTGCATGCATCTAAATTGTACTGGTCTGGCTTATTCATGCGCCGACTGTTGGTTTCATGCCTCTCAAGCAGATGCACTCTGTCTGAAGGAAACACTGACCTATCTTAACCATGGCAACTCCCGTCTTTATTTATAAATAATGACTATTGAGCAGCTATATAAAAAAAAAAACTCTCAGACACTTACATCTTGTTCATTTTTGCAATTATTCAGTATGGACTCCACCTCGTAGTCATCCTTCCACTCCAAAAGCTCATCATCAACAACTGAAATTGAGAAGAAGGAAATAAAACTCAGACCTGCACATTATTTCACTTATCAAATACTAAAAAGCTGGCAATATTACAAAAGTTAGTAACCATGGAAAGAGAAGGGCTGCAGGAGTGATCAGAAAGGTTAAAATCTGGAATGAGGTCATAAGAACCAACTCTAAATTACATACAAAGACAGTTAAAAAGTAAATGATTTGCCCATTTGAAAGAGAATGCCTTGTGACACCATACCATACAAGGCATACATCAGAAGAGAAGTATGTAGAGCACAAGGTAGACCAAGAAAAACATGAAAAGACAACATCAGAGAAACTTTACAAAAGCCTGTGTCTGTGATCGAGAAACTTCTTCTTCGTGTTCACCAACTGTAAACTCTGGCAGAAAGTTCTGGTTGTTCATCCACTTTTGGACTTCAGTCCTGTTCCAGAACCTGAGTGTTACATTTGCATCCGTTTTACAGATCTGACTCATTTGTATGTAGACTGCTGGTTCCTTGCCTCTCAAGCAGATGCACTCCAAATTTGAAGGAAGCTCCCAATTAGTCGACTCTTACGACATGCTTTTGGGTAGGCAGTGGGCCTATTCTTTTTCCCCGGAACCCACACGGGAACCCCCGGACCCCGGAACCCACACGGGAGTCGAGGAACTGAAAGAGCAAGAAACAGAATCTTATATCTCCCTTGACAGCCAAAGTGGTAAATGCGGAAGTGAAGAAGAAGGCAGTATTATACTCAGGTATACTGCAGTGCTTAGTACGATAGTTTGCAAACATTATTATTAGGGTTCAATGCTCAACTGTGGTAGAAATATTTTATTCTTGTAAGATTGTGTGCAATGAAAAGTGGCACAAAAATACTGTTCTGTGAAAAACAGTGGCATAGAAGGGAACAGGGTGTGTGACCACATAATATGGTTAATTTGTATAAGATCTGTTTAAAGAGAATTACTTGACTTTTTAAAATCCAAATTTAAAAAAAAAAAAAAAGGGGGGGGGGGGGGGGGGGGGGGGTTTACTTAACGCATAGTTCTAGTTACCAATAAACTATCATTGACAGTTGTGTCTAGATGTCTACATTTCACTACTAGAAATCTTGGACAAGGTATTTAGTGGAACATAGGAGAAAGAGAGAGAGTGGGTCATTAGGGAGGGAGCAAGACAGGGAAGAGAGAAGGAAAGTGAAAGGTGAAGGCAGGGAGAAAGAGGGAGCAAGAGGAAGAGTGATAGAAAGAAATAGGAAATATGGACAGAGAAAAGGAAAGAGTCAGAGAGAGAAAGAGAAGTGAAATATGGACAGAGAGAAGGGAAAAGGAAGAAAGATAGGAAGAGGAAGGGAAGGGACATATGGACATAGAGATGGGAAGAGGAAAGGACATATGGACAGAGAGAAGGGAAAAGGAAGAGAGGGAGACGAAGGGAAGGGAAATATGTGCACAGAAATGAAGGAAAAGTGAAAAGGAAAGGCAAACAGATGGGGGATGGGTGAAGGGTGTGTGTGTGTGTGTGTGTGTGTGTGTGAGAGAGAGAGAGAGAGAGAGAGAGAGAGAGAGAGAGAGAGAGAGAGAGAGAGAGAGAGAGAGAGAGAGAGAGAGAGAGAGATAAAGCCTGTTAAAAAAAAATGACTGCTTACATTTGCTGATTAATTTCTGAGACTTGTTAGGTCCAAGCCTTTTAACTGTCATGTACAACAAGTATTCTTTTGTCTCCTGGGACAGTTGCAAGCCATCACGCTCAATCAACTGTTGCAGCTCCACAATGTCTAAAAGACATGGCACAGAACAGGCCTTCATCTGAAATACAAGCATAGTATGTATTACTATGTCTTGAATGTATACAGGCTGTGGGTTTACATGAATAAAATATGAAAAAATCCCTGTGTGGGTTTCGGGGAAACAAGAACAGACCCACTGTTCCTCAAAAAGCATTGTCGTAAAAGTATACTAACAGAGAACATCCTTTGAGGTCAGAGTACATCTGCCCGGGAGTCAGATCCGTAAAACGGATGTGCACCCAACACTCAGGTTCTGGAACAAGACTAATGTCCGAAGATGGACAAATACCCAGAACTTTTTACCATAGTTTACAGTCGGTGAATGTTAAGACAGAAGAAGAAATATGAAAATTTTAACTAGGTGTCATGCTTGTCGATCTGAAATATAAAACACAATAACCATAGATTAATATTTCTTTCTGTTGCATATCGAAACATGTCTTGACACCCCAAAGATGTTGACCTTTCCTAGGAAATCCTCACGAAATCTTGTAGTCCCCAAGATGGGATGAAACAAAAGAAAAGAACTCTAACTAGTTATATTTTGTGTTTTGGTTGATCATCCCCTCACTAAATTACTATACATTTATTAACGGTGTTAATGTCAGTGTGAATGAGAAAACTGAATCAAATTTCAAACAAATTCCAGCAGATATACACAAGAAGGCATGCCAGCATTCACCAGCTGTAAACTGGCAGAAAGTTCTGGTTGTTCATCCACTTGTGACTGCAGTCTTGTTCCAGAACATGAGTGTTGCGTGTGCATCTGTTTTACAGATCTGGCTCATTTGTATGCAGACTGTTGATTCCTTGCCCCTCAGGCAGATGCACTCCGACTTCAAAGGAAGCTCCCAATTAGTCTACTCTTACGACATGCTTTTGGGTAGGCAGTGGGTCTATTCTTGTTTTCCCTATAATAGGGCCCCGGAACCCACACAGGAAGTTCATGATATTAATTTCAACGAAATCAATCCTTAAAAAATGTGAATGTGGAGTCACTCAGTCATGGCTGTTAAGAGTATTATTAAGACTAACAGTACAGGGCACCATTCTAGGCTATCCTCCAAATAACGGTTCCAAATTATCAGGGCCGGAAATTAACCTAACAGGGCCTTAGTCACATGTAAATTGCAGACCTCTTACTGGCGACTAGACCACAACCGCAGAGAGCATCCCCGCTGGATGGCTGGGACTCACGAGCAAATAAAATGGAGGAAGCTGCAGGAGATGCGGTAGCTGCTGGAGTCCCAGCCATCTAGTTTAGACCCGCTTCACGCCGTGGTGAAATCTCTCCTTCTGTGACTTTAACTCAGCGGAAGCTTTTCCGTGGTGTGCTGTGTAGTCGCCGGAAAGAGGTCCGCAATTTACATGTGACTGAGGCCGTTAGGGTATATTTTGAATTTTCGGGCTCGATAATTTGGGACCATTATTATTTGGAGAATAGCCCCATTCTGCAGTACTGGATATCAAAAACTTGAAAAACAATCAAATCGGCCTAGAGAAGACAAGGTTCTTCGGGATAAATATTATTAAATGTTAGTGTGGACGCTACTGAGATGAGTACTGCACTGCACCCTTTTTTTTTCTAGAGGGGAAAAAATGTCTCGCTCTAGCAGTCTAGTCTAGTTTTAACTCAACCAATGGTTTTTTTTGTTTTTTTTTCAAATGGATAAAATGGCATAGGAGAATGACAATTCAATTAATTATGTAAACATGCTTGTCTAGAGTAACTATCTGCCACTACTAATACTGATAATGATAAACCTTGATACCAGTTAACCAATCATTACTATATTTATTAATATCACTGATATATTAATAGTAATACTGAACAATGTGAGCGGTTTTAATTTTATGGGCTCCGCCACGTCCTCTACCTTTAGTTGTTCTAGTTCTAGCCTACCCCCTACCCTTGCCCTTACTTGTAATTTTCTATTCTTTCTTATTTTATTTTGGTACGCTGCAACATTTATAAAGAACTGTTTGGTTAAATGTGCGGTTGCCTACTGTACAAAAAATGTGTATTCGAACTTCAAACAATTATTTCAACTTTCAACAAATACAACACAATATACAAATACAAAAAATAATTACCGGAGATGACAACAAGAGCGCCATAACTCTCTGAACAGGTTTATTTTTGCCGCCTTTTTATTTTTTTTTGTCAAGTCTAAAGCAGTTATCGATATTATCTCTAACGAGACAGTTATCCAAAAACAAATTATGTAATGGGTGACTGATGAATTATATATCCTTATATGTACAAATATAGATGATTCGTTAGAAGACTTTTCTTCTTTGCTAACAATAACTCAAATTACACGGGGAAATCCTTATTCGGCTATAAAGTTGGCCAATCCGGCATGTTTGTTGGATTATCTTTCTGCATTCCTGCATAAATTATAACATTATGAGTGTTGAGCTTAAAATTAATTTTACAGATCTCAGCACGTTCTGTTAAGCGCTCTATCCTCATCATCAGCAGCCAGCGAAGAGTTCCGATGGTGCCAGTAGCAGTTTCATTATTTGTCCTCTGTGTGCAGAGTGTGGGTCAGATCAAGACCAGTCTTGGTCAGATCCCCTGGTCACTCTCAGCTGTGTCATTCTTTCCGGACCATAATGATAAATTCGTGCCTCTACATTATTCTATTGCTCTCAGAGGGCCTTGACCATATCTTTCCTGTCACGAATCAGTTCACCGCCTAGTGGTGCAGAACTAGCCAATCTGTCTATCTGTTCATTTCTCACCATCCCTGCCTGCCCCATAGACAATATCAAAAGAACGATAACTACCCGGGGCTTCTGAAGTAATGCTTGCCACTCAGAACATAGCATACCTGTCTCCGCCTTTCTTAACATGCTTTGTGAGTTGGTCACAATCACGACACGCGTGTGCAGCTGATTCTTAAGTCAGTGGAAAGCTGCTGTGACTGCTCCTAACTCTATTCTCAAACTAGCTGTGTTAGTGTCATACGCCACGAAATTCAAGAAAAGACACAATTTAGAAGTCAGAAAGAAATAACATCAGAGGCGCTAGAGGTGCCAATTACACTTTATAAACTGGAGTTGGCCATTTCTAAGCTGAAAATGCGGAAGTCACCAGGAGCAGATGGTATATCAAACGAAATGATCAGAAACTTAGGAAAAGTAGCCAAAACAAAGCTTTTACAGATATTTAATGCTTGCTGGGCAACAGGGAATGTTCCACAAATCTGGAGAGAGGCAATTATGATACCTCTCATAAAGCCTGGGAAAGACAGTTCTAATGCCTCCAACTACAGACCAATCAGCCTCACAAGTTGTCTCTGTAAAACAATGGAGCGCATCACCAACCTCAGACTACAGTGGTACATTGAAAGTGAAAACATCATTACACCACAGCAGGCGGGCTTTAGAAAGTTCTATTCTACGGAAGACCAGACAACATACCTCTCCCAAGAAATAGAGGATGCTTTTCAAGATAAGAAACTGGTACTCGCGGCATGGATAGATTTAAGGAAAGCTTTTGATAAGGTTTGGAAGGAGGGGCTTTTGAAGAAATTGAGAAACTATAAAATAAATGGAAAAATGTACAATTGGATTAAAGCATATCTACATAACAGAAGAGCCCGGGTACAGGTAGATGGTTTCAAAAGTAAAAAAGTTCTACTGCGACAAGGCGTCCCTCAAGGTGGTGTCCTGTCGCCCACACTTTTCCTTTTATTTATCAACGATCTGGTTGCTGAGATACCAAATGGAATCAAAATGGCAATGTATGCCGACGACCTGGTACTGTGGTGCACCAATGAACATGCAACGATAGCCACAAAAACACTACAGAGGGCTACAAATGCACTTGAGGCATGGGCCAATAGATGGTGTGTCAGCATCAACACAGACAAATGTAGCACCACACTATTCACCCTCTCCCCAAAGCAAAAAGCTGGCACCATCAAAATAAACGAAATACCCCTGAGAGATGATAAAGAGCCCACATACCTAGGAGTCACATTTGATGACAGGTTGACATGGAGAAAACATATCAACAAGGCAGCAACCAAAGCCAGGAGGAAGACAGCAATACTAAGAAAACTAAGTGGAACCACATGGGGAGCAGATTGGAAAATACTCAATAAAGTATACAAGCAGAGCATACTTCCACACTTGGAATATGGGTCAACTGCATGGTGTTCAGCATCTAGTACCACATTAAAGGAGTTAGACAAAGTGCAAAATCAAGCGCTCAGAGTCATCACAGGAGGGATGAAATCAACCCCCATATTAGAAATGGAGAAAGCTGGGAAAACACAGGCACTGAGAGAACGCAGAGATACAAAGTTGCGAATACAAGGAGTACAAATCCAGACAAATGTGAAAGGGATATTTGACAAGAAAGAGCAAGATAGTGTACAACGCAAAATGGCCACCCTCAGTTATATTGATGAAGAATACCCACAAGAACAATGTGTCAGAGTCTATATATACAGATGGGTCCGCAGAAAGTGCAGTTAGAAATGGTGGTGCTGGAGTGTACATCGAATTCCCAGATGGTACTAGGGATAAGTCCAGCGTACCAACCGGGAAGTACTGCCATAACTACGATGCAGAAACCCAGGCTATTAAGATAGCTACAGAGAAACTGCTAAATACCAACCTTGGCTCACAGTATGTGGTAATGCTTACAGATGCTAAATCAGTACTTGAAGCACTCCAGTATAGGAAACTACCAGAATTGCAAACACTGCTGACACAACTCAGCGTTCAGCGAAGAGTCGTAATGCAGTGGATACCGTCTCATTGTGGAGTGCCTGGAAATGAGAAAGCTGATCAACTGGCAGGGGAAGGTGCGACAAAAGAGCAGCCAGATGTACCAGTCACATACCACCAAAAGAAAAGAATCATTAAATCGATCAGGAAACCACCAGCCCCAGCACAAGACGACTATTTTATTATGGACAGACCAGAACAAGTCATTATCTTCCGCCTCAGAACAGGGCACAACCGATTACGTAACCACATGTACACAAAATTCAAGATAGGTGTATCAGCCATGTGCACCTGTGGAAATGTGCCCCAGACCGCAGAGCATGTACTCCAGGACTGTACCGATTTTGACACATTAAGGCAAACCTTTTGGCCAGAAAGAACAACAGTGGAACGTAAACTCTATGGACCACTGAATGAACTAACAACGACAGTGAAATTTATACAAGAGACAAAACTGCTGATATAGATAACTTATTTCAGGCGAACGAAAGAAGAAGAGAAGAAGTGTCATACGCTAGACTTTGACTAAACGTCCTCATTTGCTTTCGCAATGAACACCCAGGCACCTCTTCAGCCTCTCGGCACAGCGCCATCTGTGGATAGTCTCATCTACACGTAATTACCGGTATCATAAATCAATTGTTGAACTTCTGATTCTGCAGTGCCTCCTGGCCACTCTCTTCATTCCCGGCCAATGTGATTAGAACCCTACACTGGTCTGCGTTAGCGCAGTCGATTGGAGACTCGCTTTCAAATCCAGCTGTGACTCGCTGCAGCTCACGGCTGAGGTTCGAAACCGTGCGGTTAAACAGGATGTTTTTGAAAAAAATTACTACTACTACTACTACTACTACTACTACTACTACTACTACTACTACTACTACTACTACTACTACTACTACTACTACTGAAGTATGACCTAGCTTGCAGCATGCTGAGCCTATCTGCAATGGTCGGCAGTGTAAGAATGTCCAACAAACAGACTACTGGTGTGTCTCTTGTACATCCCAAAATCACCGACATGTCTTCATTTTGTATGCGTTCATGCTTCACCAGCTGACTCTTAGATACGATGAGCAGCCTTAGACCATAATCCTTCGCCGAATTACATCATAGTACATTGTTTAAGGGTCCCCTCAGTTTTTGCCTAGAACATGTATGTGTAAAGTGAAGGGGGCGGGTGGCGGTCTAAGGCCCCCTTTCATGTTTTCTTGATGGCGGCTAGCCTGCACACCGTTATTCCATCGTTACATATATTAATGCTGCATATGCAACCTTTGTTCTTGTGATGTACTGTTTAAGCATTCCATTTAGTTTTCTCTTTATCTGTCTATTTGTCTGTCTGTCCGTTGTATGTTTTATATTCATCAGCATCACACTCTTGTGCTATTACACGTCACATATGTTTCGCCACCTAGTCATCTGTTCCGTTTGATCCTGCGCCATTCTTCTCTCGTTATCATGGATTGAACCCAGTTCAGCACATTTGGCCTCTGTCAAACAACAATCGTCGCAGGACTTCATGTTTCCTCAACCCATTTGTTCACGATTTCAGTGTCATTCTAGTAATTATCTGTCCCTTACTGTCACTTGATTTACTATTAATACGCAATCTGTGCAGCATTAAATAACCAAAGATAATTGATATGCATAAACATCTTCTATTGAAATAGAAAAGCTCTCTATATACCCCAACTATAACTTATATGGGTTGAACAGGATATTGTTTACATTTACTACTACTGTCCTTCTTCTCAAGATGTACCCAGCAAGGGAAGAGGTTAAAGGAAGGACAGAAAAAAGCGCCAAAAGGACACTCTCAAGGCTGCTCTCATTTCTTATGGCATCAACACAGTGACGTAGGAGGCTGCTGAACAAGGCGGTTCTGGATGGCGTACGTCCCTCAGGCAAGGTGCATCGGCATGCCAGAGCAGACTAGAAAGAATCGTACTGCTAATCCCACACTTATTGTGGCTTCGATCTGTTGTCCGCACTGCTCAAGATCTTTCCAGGCTCATATTGGACTAATCAGCCACCTTCGTACTCATAATCATTAATGATTACCTCTGTGGATGAAAGTGGTCTTCATCACTCGTGATGGACAAACAACCCAGTATAGATGCCCTTTTCTCCTCAAGATGTACCCACCATATTGTCATCTTCTCTGACCTATATGTGTTTGTGTGTGTGTCATAAGCTTATCGCAGAGGGTAATATGTTGATTCGTAAGAAAGGTCCCCTGAGTTCATATTTCTTAACAGTATTCTACATTTCTTGTTTTCACAACTGGTGTCTTCTGTCAACGTTATTTTGTGAACAGTTCAACCTGGCAACTCAGACGACCGCAGCTGGTAGTTTACCAAACGAGAATGCCGAAGGTGTGTTGTGTTTGTTGACTAGATCACTAGAACCACGGTCTGTTAGTAATTACAGTATAAATATATACACTAAATAATAGATGAATATCGTTCAACTTCACTAGAATAATATTCACTACACGAGGATTTACGTTGTCAACAATGTGTTTATAGTTTGAACTTCAGAGTGTATATATATTATCATATATGTCGTTCGTGTTGACGAGTTGATGTCAGTTTGATTCAAACTTTGAATTTGTTATTGTTTGAACTTTGTTTAGAATGATTGACACTGCACTGTTAGAGGACATCGTGATGTTCATTACGAGATATCCGATATAGAATCTTTATCGGTTTTTGAGAACTGATATTAATTTCTAAATTGCTTAATTGACTATTGATACTGATACTGATATTGAAAAAACTATGAGTAGTTTATTTATCACTTTGTTGTTTATCGACATACCCTAAAAAAAGGTAGATAAGAAATCGTCTACAATGAATGAGCCCGACTTGAATGTGAGTTAACGGAAAAAGACTTCAGTACTTTAAGTCTTTCTTATAACACTTTAACAATTTTAAATTATTAATATCTTTGAGTTACTTAAAGGTAACTTATAATCTGTAAATCATCATCATCATGTAGCATGTCCTTTGCAGAACGTCGCCCTCATCACAGTCTGCCTGAAAGAAACTCGGTCTCTCGCCAGTTCTCCCGCCTCATGCATTTTCACATTCAAGGAGTCACCTATATATGTGCCTATCTTTGTGTCGGTCGGCCCCTGCCCCTCCTTCCTGGTACCATGCCTTCTGCTATAATTGTTTCCAATCCGTCGTGGCGCTTGATATGACCAAAATATTTCAGCTTTCGAGAAAGGTTACTGTTTATTAGCCAATCTTTCTTGATGTTCAGATCTTTTAAGATGTCAATATTTCTCATCTTTTTTGTCCAAGATATTCTGAGAATCTTTCTATAACATTTAAGCTCAAAAGCCCCTATTCTCTTTCTCAAGGACTGAGAGATAGTCCACGACCAACATCCATATGTAGCCACAGGGAAGATACATGCTCTCAAAATTCTAATTTTGATTTCCTTGCTGGTGCTTAACCATAGACTTTTAAGGCTGTTCATTCAATCTTTGCATTGCTATGGCCATTCTCCTTTTAATTTCTGTCGAACAGTCTCCACTGTCGTTTATTATAGAGCCTAGATATTTAACATTTGTGACATTTTCAATTTCTTCTTCATTTATTGTTATTTTTGGGTGACAGCTAGTTTTATCTGTGGACATTATTTTCGTTTTCTTTAAATTCAAGAACAGATTTTGATCTTCACTGTGCTTTTGGACAGACAATATTAAATTTTCTATTCCCTTTACGCTGTTCGAAAGGAGGACTGTGTCATCTGCGTAGCGGAGTTCCTGAATAGGGTTGCCACCAATTTTGAGCGGATCATAACTGTCACAAGTCTGGTCATTTTTGACATTTCTCATTATATTTTCTGCGTATATATTAACTCTTTGAGTCCCAAGGAACGCATGATACGTTCATGGGTTCCTACATAAAAGCCCAATGAACCCAGAAAGCGCCGATTTTATTACTTTCTTTACTATCCCCTGGGCCTGTGACGCTAAGCCCCCTGGGACTCAAAGAGTTAAATAAATTTGTAAATACAGTCGAAATTTGCACTAAAGTTGGGGAGGCCAGAAATAATTAATTAATTAAAAATTGTGACTGAAAGAGCTAAGTTTAGGAACTCACTTTAAAATATTTTGCTGTTAACTCTTTCAGTCCCAGGGGGCTTAGCATCAAAGGCTCTAGTAGTAAAGAGACGTAAAATTTGCGCATCTTGTGTTCATCGGGCCTCTGGGTAGGAACCCTTGAATGTAAAATGCATTCCTTGGGACTGAAAGAGTTAAATAGATGTATCTTACATAACAGTACAGTGTTGTAATTCGTAGAAAGTTGATCATAGAACATTTTAGCCTCAGTATAATAAAAGATATGGTTATGGGTAGTTTTTTTTTCCCTCTGACCCAAAACAGGGGTGCTGGTACTCACCACAACCACAGAGTGTTTATAACAATAGCCAGAAAAAGTTGCCGATGCTACATACAACCAGAGAAAAGCCCTGGTTATGGGAAAGTTAACTTTAGTATACTTTCCTTTTTATCTAATAATTAATAATTGATTACTTAATGGCAGGTTGACTGTTGAATGGTTTAAATAATGCGAGCACAAACAGAACATTGCATAATTTATTGCCAGGCATATTTTGCTGTATCTCGTCAGGTGCGTTAATACAGACTTGCATCAACATAAAATGAAGAACAAAAAAACTGAATAAATCCAACTGAAATGCAAATAGTTTCTTTTGACATATGGTGTGTTTTGGGCGCCGGAAGTTTACCGTAGTCACGTGACTTACCAGGGTAACTTCAGATTTACTATAAATTCTGTCTGCTTACAAAAGAGGGGGTTGTTGATTTTAATTGTTAAAGCTTCGACCATTCTCAACAATCGCCTGTTGGGTGTGTGATTAACGACACGAAAAGCACTGTATGTGTCAATTATGTGTCCAGAATTAAGTAGATGTCCTATGGAAAAAAAAGGGTTCTTTTCTCTGGACTGGTGTAGACACCCTTGAAGAATCACAGTGCTGTGTATGTAGCCATTTGGGTATGTGCTCTGCCCCTCTATTTCTAAGCTGTTGAATAGTTGCCTCTTATATAATGATAGAATTAATAATGGAAAGTTATCTGTTGAATGTCTGTCTCTATTATATAATGTTGATAAGATTGTAATCATTTACTGTCATGTATGAATCATGTTTAAAATCAGGCCAGTACTTCAAGTCAGAGAGCTGGCCCGTCACAAGTGCAAGAAAAAGTCAAGACGCAAACAGTTGACGTGGACAAGAAGGTTAGTCATTTACAGGTCTACCCTGTCACCTATATATATATTTTCACCTCTAACTAATGTGGGTGAAAGGTTTTGGGGCCCAGTCCTGGGGGCAGGGGAATAGACCCTCTGCCTCTGTAAATTAAACAGACACGGTTTTGGTCATAGAAGTTGCACCATTTTGAAACTTCTACTCCACTCATACACATGCTGGGCTGACGGGCAGGCATCACCATATTAGATTTTTATTTGCCGATGAATTTCTATGGGTTTCACCACATCACTGAACAACAGCAACAAAACAGATAACATAACGCAGCTTCTCTTTGATGCATGTCAAAAGTGGGATGGCCATCTCTAAACTGTCATTATGACATTATCATTTTCGTCTGCCCTGCGATGTCATGTGCTCAACACTCTTGACATCCTTAATGATATTGACAGGTTACAAGACAATTACATATTTATTTTAATTTGTTTCACACTTTGAAAGTTTTCATTTGAAGCTCCCTCCTGACAATGGCAGTAAAGAACAGATTTAAAAAAAGGAAGATTAACTTTTGCAATGCATTAGAAAGAACACAATGCAAATGTGAGTGTCAAACCCCTGTTGGTTGGGGGAGGGGGGGGGGAATAATACACCAACTGTCCCACAAGTAGTTTAAGTGAGGCGACTAATTAATGTGTTTTCTTTAAAGTTGGAGTGCATCAGAGGAACCAGCAGTCTGCATACATGTAAGCCAGATCTGTAAAATGAATGTGCATGCAAAATTGAAGTACTGGAACAAGATCAAAATCCAGAAGTACATGAACAACCATAACTTGCCAGAGTTTACAGCCAGTGAACAGATGAACAACCATAACTTGCCAGAGTTTACAGCCAGTGAACAGATGAACAACCATAACCTGCCAGAGTTTACGGCCAGTGAAAACTACGAAGAAGGAGAAAATGGTTTTACCACCAGAGGTAAATTCCCAGGTGTCAGCTGTCACAGAGAGCTCTGATGAAGAAACATAATGACCACAGAGCAAGAAGAATACTGCAAAATATGGAACATTGCCATCAAAAACTGCCTTAAAGAAATAAAGAACTTATTTTTGTGTGGGTTCCGGGGCCCCATTGTGGGGAAAACAAGAATTGACCCATTGCCTACCCAAAAACATGTCGTAAGAGTCGACTAATTGGGGAGCTTTCTTTGAAGTCGGAGTGCATCTGCCTGAGAGGCAAGAACCAACAGTCTGCATTCAAATAAATCAGATCTGTAAAACTGATGTGCACACACCACTCAGGTTTTGGAGCAGGACTGCAGTTCAGAAGTGGACAAACAACCATTATTTCTGCCAGAGTGTACAGCTGGTGAACTTGAAGAAGAAGGAGTGCATTACCTGGGTAACAAATGCAGAAGAAAGATATGTTGGCCAAAAGTCACAAATATACAAGAATAAAAGTCTACGAGTGGATGAACAACCAGAACTTTCTGCCTGAATTTACAGCCAGTGAATGGAAGAAGAAGAAGAGTATATGCTTACTGTTGTCTTAACCATTGTTCCTAAGTCCTACAGTGTTCTCCCTTTACCTTCAGCGGTTTCTAGTGTTAGATTACAATAATAGAACATTGTAATCCTTTGTATTATTTTATGAATAAATTATCCCTTACATCCCCAGGCAAATGAACTGGTACAGTACCTACTTGTCATGGATCAGAGGAAAATACCAGTTAAAAAGAAAGGTAGGAATGAAACTAACTCTCCAGGGCTCAATTTTAGGGTATAGACTCACTGCCCCTACCCTCGTAAAAGTGGATGAACACCCAGAACTTTCAGAGTTCAAAGCCGATGGACACAAAGAAGATAAAGAAGAAGAAAAAACTTACTTAAAACTGTTTTTTCTTTTGAAGATGTGCATCTGCCTGTGAGGCAAGAAAACACAGTCTATATACAAATAGCCATATCTGAAAAACAGCAAAACTCAAGTTCTTGAACAAGACTAAAGTACAAAAGTGGATAACCAGAGTTTACAGCCAGTGCACATGAAGAAGAAGAAAACTTCTGTCTGATAGCTAGAACCATAAAAATGAGGACTTGTGGTTCACGTTAGCAGTTAAACAATGAGGATTTGCAGCTGTTGATCTTGAGCTAGCTGTACAGCATTGAATTTTGTATAAATGTATTGTGATTCTGTGACTTAGAGGCTAGTGAAATATGGTAAAACTAAAGTTAGTCTCCCCATTTACACAGGGTTACACACTACCTCACTTCTGATTGGTCGACCTTCAGCCTAGCTCACTTCTGATTGGTTGACCTTGAGCCACACGACCTTCACACAAGGTTACGGAGGTTTTCCAGCAATACCATTGATATCGCTTGTTGTATATTTCAGCACGCCAGCGCTTTTAACACCCCAGAAACATGGACAAACTGGGTCTAACACACAACCCTCCTAGGGAGAGCTGCGACCTATGTCACAGGCATTCTCTTTCACGGAAGAAAAATGTAAATGCAAGACAACCCAGATAGCAAACAACAGAGCAGCACACCTGTAACCTCCAGGAAAGGAGACCAGCCCAACAAAGTTGTCAATGAAATGTGACCTACTTTCTCTGGGGAGACTATCGTAAAACTAACCGTGAAATAGTTCCAGAGTCCAATCCTCAATAACTGAGTTCATTTCCATGACAGGCAATTTGGAAATTAGTCTTTTCTTATGGCTTTTGGACAGTTGTATAAGAGTTGCACCATGGAAGAGATTAAGCATTCATCACATAATATTCCCAAAGATAGCGTTGAATTGGCTGCAGCCCAACCCCGCTATTGAGAGACGACACGTACAGCAGTACTGTGAGTGATATTGCCGTATATGTTGACATCAGCCAGAGTTTAGCAAACCCCACCATCCATGATGTGCTACAGAACCGCAGATTGTCTGCTCCTCTTGGTGCATGTCAGAAGTGGAGTAGCCATGTTTAAACTGGTTATGACATCACCATGCTTGTCTGCACTATGATGTCACATGCTTAATATTTTTGGCATCCTTAATGACAGTTAACAAGACAGTGACTTGGTTATTGTCATTTCTATCACAGTTTTAAGGTTTCAATTTGAAACCCCCTTATATAACAGACCCCTTAACTTTGTTTAGCGGACCACCAAATGGGATTAACCTGGTATGTTGTTTAGTTAATCACACCAGGTATTGATCTCTTTCATTTAGTGTTCATGTTTTTTAGGGAGTCATTGACTTCTTAGAGGTCATGACATAGACATCATGCTCATGCAGACCTATAACATGACTGCAGGATTTAAAACAGATGATTTATCTTCTAAGTGATTTATCCCACAGTTACAATAAATTTATATTGAAAGTTCAGCCAGCATGCACTTCCAAACTGAGTCATTGTTTGATTTTAATTTTCAGATATAAATAAGATGTTGGCAGATGGCAGTAAATCCTTCCCTGCTATTCTGGCTAAAGCATCGGAAAAACTATCAGACGTATGTAGAGGATTAGCTTTCTTGATGCAGTAGTTATAGTATTTGATAACTGCAGTGATTACAGTATTTTATAGCAGCAGTTATAGTTTATAACCACAGCAGTTATAGGTAATGAAATTATTGTTTATAACTACAGGGATTATAGGTAATAAAATTATTGTTTGTAACTACAGAAATTATGGGTAATAAAGTTATTGTTTGTAACTGCAGGAATTATAGGTAATTAAGTTGTAGTTGTTAACTATAGCAGTTAGTTAGTTGTGTACCCTTTACAGGACGTTGAAGAACCAACCCCAGCATTTTTTTTTTTTTACTGTTGTGGTTTTTCTTGGCAAATTTAGGCCCAGTAGTTTTCCATTGATTTCTGGACAGTCGGCTTCACGTACTACTGTTGAAACCAGCGCAGGGCCCGAAGCTTGTTCGCAACACCTAAGCCACAGACACCGACAACTACAGCAGTACCAGTATTTTATAACAGCAGTTCCCTGTGTGGATTCCAGGACCCTGTTAGGAAAACAAGAATAGACCCACCCTCCCCAACAAGCATGTCATAGGAGTAAACTAAATAAGGACAACCTTTGAAGTCGGAGAGCATCTTCCTGAGAGGAAAGGAAACCGCAGTTTGCATACAAATATGCTAAATCTGTTTAAAAAAATAACTTCAAAACTTAACATTTTGCTGTACCTAATCAACCAATTCACTGGAAATCAGTTTGTGTGTATGCAGTTACTGAGATAAATGTATAGAGATAATCCTTTACACTGTTGATAAATCGAAACGAGGATTGAATGTTATTAGTTAGGCTTCCCACTGTATTATATTAATAATGGCATAAAATGTAGATGAATGTTGAAAAGAGAAATTTTTGATCTCATGTGTCCATTAAACTAAAGGATACATTATTTTGTCTTTTAAGTGAAAAGCTATTAAATTAAAAAATTTTATATGATGAAAGTCTCCATGGAGAAGAAATCAAGCCATTTCTCTTGTACTTCCCCAGTGAAGATTCCAGGGTCTATTTTGAGGGAAACACACAAAAACAAAAACAAAAGACCTACTGCTTCCCTAACAAGCATGTCATAAAAGTCAATGTTTCCTTTAAAGTTGGAGTGCATCTGCCTGAGGGAGGAGGAACCAGCAGCCTGCACTCAGTTAGCCAGATCTGTAAAATGGATGTGCACATAAAATTCAAGTTCTCAAACAAGAATAAGTCTATAAGTGGGCCAGAACTTTCTGCTGAAGTTTAAAGCTGGTAAACCTTAAGAAGAAAATTGCTGTGCTTTTGGAGAGCCAAAAGGTTCGTTACTTTGGCTATGGAGTTCGTACTCTGTGCAATAACATCTTTGGTAGCTTTGCTAGCCAACCCCTGCAGAGGGAGACCAAGCCAGATGGGCTAAAACCTGTTGCAGTGAATTGATCTTCTTCTTCATGTTCACGGCTGTAAACTGCGGCAGAAAGCGTCATCCACCTCTTGAGTCTGTTTCTTCAACTTCTCTCCGCGTCATGCCTGTGTGCTGGGAAATGAGCGTACAGATAGACTGGCCGGTTCTTCACCACACTGGCCGGTTCTTCACCACTTGGTGGTGAACTGATGTATGACAAGCTGGATGTAATGAGGGCCCTTTGAGAGCGAGTGAACAGTGCCAAGAAACAGATAGATCATTACAGTCTGAGGAGAATGGCACTGCGAGGAGTTACAAAGGGATCTGGCCGATGCTCAAAACTCAGGGAAAAGGTGAGACGGATATACAGATAGTTACTGGTACCATCATAAATTTAACTTTTCACTTGCTGCTAAAGATGGGGACGAAACACTAATGGGGGTGTCCCAAGTGCTGTGATGTCAATTCTTCACATTCAACATTCTTGAACTGAAGTTTTGCTTGCATTTCCATTTTACAGATCTGGCTTATTTGTATGCAGAATGTTGGTTCCCTACCTCTCAGGCAGATGCACTGTAACTTTGAAGAAAACAGTCCTAATTAGTTGACTTTTACGACATGCTTGTCATGGGGGTAGTGGGTCTATTATTTATTTTCTCCCCAAATGGGACCCTGGAACTCATTTGGGGAGTTGCAGTGAAATAAATACTTCCGCTCAATTTTAAGGATTTTATGAACGCCTACAGATATTTGGCTTTCGCGTTGTGGAACTCGGAGACAAATTAAAAGGGTCGTACATTCTTGTGAATGAACTTGCATACACTGATGAACAGAAACTGACTGTATGGTGAGTATAAGTAGTAAAATTTATCTGATGAACAGAAACTGATTATATGGTTAGTATAACTTGTAACATTTATCTGATGAACAGAAACTGATTATATGGTTAATATAACTTGTAACATTTATCTGATGAACAGAAACTGATTATATGGTTAGTATAACTTGTAACATTTATCTGATAAACAGAAACTTATTATATGGTTAGTCTAACTTGTAACATTTATCTGATGAACAGAAACTGATTATATGGTTAGTATAACTTGTAACATTTATCTGATGAACAAAAACTGATTATATGGTTAGTATAACTTGTAACATTTATCTGATGAACAGAAACTGATTATATGGTTAGTATAACTTGTAACATTTATCTGATGAACAGAAACTGATTATATGGTTAGTATAACTTGTAACATTTATCTGATGAACAGAAACTGATTATATGATTAGTATAACTAGTAACATTTATATGATGAACAAAAACTGATTATATGGTTAGTATAACTTGTAATATTTATCTGATGAACAGAAACTGATTATATGGTTAATATAACTAGTTAGTAACAGCCTAAAAAGTCGATGGTTAAGCACCAGCAAGGAGATTAAAATTAAAATTTTGAGAGCATGCATCTTTCCTGTAGCAACATCAGATGTAAGTCGCGGACTATCTCCCAGTCCTTAAGAAAGAAAATAGGGGCTTATGAGCTGAAATGTTATGGAAAGATTCTCAGAATACCATAGATAAAAGAAAAGAAGAAAAACTGACATTTTCAACAATCTGAACATCAAGGAAGATTGGTTAATAAAAAGCAGCCTCTCTCAGAATTTGCAAAATTTTGGTCACATCAAACACCATGGCGGATTAGAAAAAATAATAACTGAAGGCCTGCTACCAGGAAGGAGGGGCAAGGGTTGACCAACACAGAAAAAGTGACTCCTTGGTTATAAAAATGCATGAGGGAGAGCTGGAGAGAGACTGAGTTTCTTTTAGGCAGGCTACATGATCATGTTTTGCGTTCTAAGTTATATGCTGCCTGCTTGAAAGTAATTCATGTATGGTGTATTCCTTGGATCATTATCATGGCACACAGTTAGTAACCCATAAGTGCTCCGTTCTTCTTCTAACTCAAATCTGAGTCTGAAGAATCACAGCACAGTGCACAGGCTCTGTATCACCGGCGAGGATCCTGGAATACTTTGGGTAGATTTATAACTCCAGGTTTTGCCTGGGCAGCGCCGTTAGGCTACTCTTTCTGATTTCCAGCTGCCAAGGCATTTTTTTTACATGCGCAACAATGCACACAGGCGTCCTATCCAGAGACCAGGAGGAATTACTAGAAGTCCAAGTCCACGTGAAAAGATCCCAGTCCTTACTGAGGATTGAACCAGAAACCTCTAGCACTCAAGGTGGACATCATGTCTCGAGACCACGCAGGCCCCCCCCCCACCCCCCCCCCCCCACCCCTTCTATAGTAATTCATACAAACAATGTAATCTGGTAATCTGGTAATCCTAGTTTCAGCTTCATAGCAAACGGGTCACCCCACATATGCTCCGCTCCTGTGCCAACGAAAAACAAACGCAGCTCACAGTGTCATGCCATGCACTCAACTCAGAAGCTGGGCGACGAAACTACATCCTTCCAGTCTACAAATGGAGTTAAAATGCAACGGCCACCGTCTGGAAAAAAAAAAATATTTGCCACGGCTTTAAAAAAAAAAAAAAAAAGGGTGGCCGTACCTAGCGTCCATTTTGACCGGAAGAATTATATGAGGGTTAATAAACGGTCACCCCAGCAGTACCCTCATTATTAGCTGGGGAAGGGACTTAGGACATTACATCCACCAGCAGGCGTCGCCCCTACAACGACCTGCCTGCCATCGTTAACGACTGTTCACCCAACAGCCATGCAGTTCTTTGGCACGAAGGAGACACCTTGAACTTGGGTTTCGTACTGCCGACTCCCTACTAAGTTGTTATTTTATGTTCTGTTATCACGATTAATGTCACTGCACATTGGGCATACCCATGCGTGCTCAGTTCTCCGAAGCAGCAGCCACTCTAAAGTACTTCTACTAATTGTCCCCATGAGAAGCTGGTTATATTGTCTCCTTTCTCGGCCTCGAAGACGGCAAAGACGTGCATCACCATGCTTAACTCCCATGTCACGCAATCGTGTTAGTGTCAGGGATTCCTCATTCTCCACTAGCCCAGTTCGTACAGCGTTGACTATGTCTGCTCTGTCCATACTTTTTCCCGCAGTCATTAGTGCAGTGCTTGCCAGTTGGTCTGCTCGCTCATTTCCCTTCACGCCCGCATGACCCGGTGTGTAGATCCAGGTTATGGAGGTTAAGTGCGATTTCCTGATGCTTTCTATCCATTCAGAGCGCATACTGCCTGTTGCTATCTTCTGAAGCATATTCATTGAGTATACAAACAATGTGCTTCTGCTGAGGGCTTAGACATTATCAAAGGCTAACCTATGTAAAATTAATACCTGCAAAATGAAATGCCATAGAAAAGCCGCCAACTTAACCATCTGAGACAAAGTTAGAAAAGATATCAGACGGACTGTAGAAACAGAAGGTCAGATGGTTTGGCCATTTGGTAAGAATTCAGCCAGAACGACTACCAACGCAGACACTACACATGAAAAGATCTGAAGTGAAAGCAAGAGGCCGCCCTAGGAGAGGATGACATTAATGACATTAAAGAGCTTCTACATCGTCACGGAATGACAATAGTCATTGCTGCCCATCAAGCAGTGGACCACAGATTGTTCCTCCTTACAATGCTTAATGGCAGAAGTGGAAATTGATGATGCTGATGTTAGTAATGGTTGTTATTTTTACAGGTCAGAGGAGGAGAGTGCAAAAATGGGTCTTGTGTCTGTTATTCTCAACATTATCTTCATGAATGGGAATGTAATAACTGAAGGTAAGTTTGTGTCCTCACTGAAGGTTCTTTCTTCTTTTCTTCATTCCTTCCTGTCACTGGTTTTCAGATGAGGAGGTCAAAGGCCTCTGTGCAGGCTGGGTTGTTACGATTGGCCTCCACTTATCCATACAGCTAGGTTTTTACCTTAATGCCAACTGGCCAAACTAGAGATCTTCTAGTGCATGTAGTGAACATGTCTGCAGCACTTGTTTAGTATTCTTTGTTGCCTGTTCAAAAGGACATAGTTCTTAGTCACCAGTCTTATAGTGGGCTCTATTGACTGCCTTGATCTGAGTTGTATTTTTCTCATAAGCAATCTGGTAATCTTAGTTTCAGCTTCACAGCAAACGGGTCACCCTATAGTTGCTCTGCTGCTGTGCCAATGAAAAACACACAGACTGTACATCACTGTCCCTTTTCGAAAGATTGACACAGACTGCAGTGTCAGCATGTCCACTAGTATACACCCACGTTAAAAGCATAAAACAGTCATCAGAAGTGTTAACACAAACCGTCCAACATAAGAAATGCAGTTCATCATCACAAAAGCAGCAGTTGCACACGCGATCAGTTTGAATCCCAAAAGGCACCACTAATTCTGAGGCAACAGGCCACATGCCATTTTCTGAATCTACAGTTCACAATACCACATTTGGTCACAGTCGCAAAACATTCCAAATCCGCAGCTCACAGTGTGGCACCATGTACTCAACTCAGTACCTGGGCAATAAAACTATATCCAAAGCGGCCACCGTCGATCAGAAGCAAAAGATGTGTCATGACTAAAAAACAGTGACCATGCCTGTCATCCATTTGTACCATTTTTCTCATAAGTGCCACCTGCCTCTGGTTTTTTAGCATTGCTCCTAATATTTGCAAACAGCCGCTTATAACTGAGGGTAAGTGTTGACTAAACAGTGCTTATAAGTCCATCTTTTCTCATGCACCTGCAAAACATCATACAGAGATTAATTGTTTATCTGACATAGGTCACTAATTAAATAGTGAAATATTTGTTTATATACATATATATATATATATATATATATATATATATATATATATATATATATATATATATATATATATATATATATATATATATAATATATATATATATATATATATATATATATATATATATATTAGTTAGTTAGTTAGTTAGGACATGTCCATAGGTGCTCAGATCCTCCCCTCAGTATGAACCCCAAAGTCCAAAGGCTAATAGTGTTGATTAACAAGTCTTCTGACGTGTCCGGTGTGCGTCTCGTTTTTTGCTGTGCCGATCTTTATATTATATATTTATATATATTAGTCAAAGGCAGTTAAGTATGTTACAATCAGCAGTGATTCTATGAGCATGATCCGGTGGATCAAGGCATGCTGGCTGCATACGCAGACAGTGGATTGAGTCGTTGCAAAACTCTCTTCTGCATGTTGTTACATTCCTTTTTGTCCCATGGTATGCAGGTGTTGTTGGCAATGAAATAATTTGAGAGATTGGCAGGTTCTGCTTTAATTGCAGATGGCCAGCCCATGGATCGCACAGACATTGTCAGTGCCTTTAAAGAGATAGGATGTCCTGAGGATTTTGGAAGCAATGTGTCCACATCACTGCTAAGAATATGAGAATTGTGAGTAAAGATCAAAGCAGCCAAGCACAAGAAGCACAACAGACACACAAAGTCATGTCAGCCAGCATAGGACTAGCACTGTTAACCACGAGCCTCTCATGGGATGGTGAAGAGGGAATCAGAGCACTTATGGATGTGTCCAGATAATCCAACTCATAACTCATATTGAAACCAGACTAAAATATATGTTTTATTTTCCTAGATGACTTATGGTACGCCCTGAAGAGACTTGGAATAAGACAAGAGTGAGTATTATTTTGTAAATATTATCATTGTATCTTCCATGGGTTCCGGGGCCTCACTTTAGATGTTAGAAAAGGAGAGGGAATATCCGCTTCCCCTTATCAGGCATGTCGTAAAGGCGAGTAATTACGCATTTACTAAAATTGGATGGATGAGATGAAAGACAGGATATTGCAGCCTGGTTGTAAATCAGAATGGAAAATGCAATTAGCTCTTTTAGGGTGACCATATGGGTGGAACTGACAACTGAGTGTTTATAGAACTCTGGCATATCCTTGTGCCACATTAGGTTGAATATTGCAGAGTCTACTCCTGTTCAAAATTCACCAGTTGTTTTAGGTTCAGATTATTTATTTAATGTTTAGAACATAGATTTTTTTTTTTTTTTTTAAATTGTAGTGGCTTTTGGGATTTTTTGAAGTTTTTTTTAAATTTTATATTGTTGTTATTAACAGTAATTTATCATTTAAGGTAGTCTTTCATCTTTCTCTAATGTTACTCGCCCAACCTTAAGTAGGACATTGCATTGTTACACTGTTCAACTCTGTCTCACATGTAACACAATCTAACTCTATCCCAGTTGTTGCATTATACATTATCCAATGCTGTCCCATTCATTGCATTATCCCACTATATCCAAAAATGTTGCATTATTCCCCTTCTCCCTAGTTAGTTTATTCCACTATATCACAAATGTTACATTATCCCACTCCCAGTGGTCACATTATCTAACTCTCTAGATGTTATATTATCCCACTATATCCGAAAAGTTACATTATCCCTATTTCCAAATGGGGTGCTGTTCACGTTTCCAGGCCCAGGCTTAAAGTAACTTCCCTTGCCATTCATGCCTCCTTAGGTTGCTGGACCTCTCTTATGTTGCAGGAAAGTCCTGTTTTCTTTATTGTAAACGGTTTTCTCGTCTTTTCACCGCTCGCTTGCGTGATTATTTTCACATTCGGGTTGGTTGCCAACTTCTGGACTGTAATCCTTTTCTGCAACCTTAGTGTTGAGTGTACATCCGCTTCACAGATCTGACTCATTTGTACGCACTGTTGGTACCTTGCCTTTCAGGCAGATGCTCTCTGACTTTGAAGAAAGCTCCCAGTTAGTCAGCTCTTACGACATGCTTTTTTTTTTTAGGTAAGAAGTTGGTCTGTTCTTGTTTTTCCCGCAGTGAGGCCCCGGAACCTGCATGGGGGAGGCCCCGGAACCTACATGGGGGAGGCTAGTTTCCAATATTGAAGGTTATCTGGGGTCAGTTAAACAGTGCACACAGAACAGAGCATCCATGTCTGGGATTAGTTAAACAGTGCACACAGAACAGAGCATCCATGTCTGGGGTCAGTTAAACAGTGCACACAGAACAGAGCATCCATGTCTGGGATCAGTTAAACAGTGCACACAGAACAGAGCATCCATGTCTGGGATCAGTTAAACAGTGCACACAGAACAGAGCATCTATGTCTGGGATCAGTTAAACAGTGCACACAGAACAGAGCATCCATGTCTGGGATCAGTTAAACAGTGCACACAGAACAGCATCCATATCTGGGATCAGTTAAACAGTGCACACAGAACAGAGCATCCATGTCTGGGACCAGTTAAACAGTGCACACAGAACAGAGCATCCATGTCTGGGATCAGTTAAACAGTGCACACAGAACAGAGCATCCATGTCTGGGATCAGTTAAACAGTGCACACAGAACAGAGCATCCATGTCTGGGATCAGTTAAACAGTGCACACAGAACAGAGCCTCCTTGTCTGGGATCAGTTAAACAGTGCACACAGAACAGAGCATCCATGTCTGGGGTCAGTTAAACAGTGCACACAGAACAGAGCATCCATATCTGGGGTCAGTTAAACAGTGCACACAGAACAGAGCCTCCTTGTCTGGGATCAGTTAAACAGTGCACACAGAACCGAGCATCCATATCTGGGGTCAGTTAAACAGTGCACACAGAACAGAGCATCCATGTCTGGAGAGAATGAGTCCCCTGAAAATGAGCAGAGGGTCTGGATGATTCTCTACCTGCAGGGGAAAAACAGAGAATCTTTTATCAGACTACAGCTGGCACCATCAATACAGAAACTCTTTGTTGGCTACTGAGGGTTGGGGCAGAGCACTTGTGGGAATGTCCTGAGTGCAATGTCAATTTTTGATTGATTGAATGATTAAGTGACTTATTCATTTATATTTTTCTTTATACATGGTCGTTCAGAATTATAGATACTTTCGTTCATATGTATTTCAGAGGGGGCTGAGTGGTTTCAAGGCATGGCGTCCGCCTCGGGTGCTGAAGGCTGGGATGTTTTCATGTGGACTTCTAGTAATTTCCTCTGGTCTCTGGGTAGTAAGACTGGATGCCCGTGTGTATTGTTGCACACACATAAAAATCCTTGGCAGATGGAAATAAAAAAGAGTAGCACAAGGGTGCTGCCCGGGCAAAGTTTTCATTAAAAATCGACCCAAAGTTGTTCAGGATCCTTGCCAGTGCTACAGAGTTCGTGCAGTGTGCTGAGATTCTTCGTACTCGGGCTTGAGTTAGAAGTAGAACGGAGCTCTTAGGTTTACTACCCTTGTGCCATGATTTTGATCTGTTGTTCAAACCATTAGAGTTTAAATATATTTCCTTGAAAATACATTATATATTATTAATATACATGTGAGAGAGGGTGGAAGGTCTGAAGTTTGGAACACTAGAATACTACCGCTAGAGCACAATTATGTAACCAGCCACTTGAGCGCAGAACAGTATCACAGTTGCAGTGAACTCAGTTGCACAAGAGATGCTTCTTCATGAGTGGAATGAGTTCAGCTACCACTTAGATTTTTGCTGAGCAGCAGAGCACAGCCATATTGAACATTTATAACCTCTGTTATAAAATTTAAACCATCCTCTCTCTCTCTCTCTCTCTCTCTCTTGTGAGTATTTTATTGATATTTTATATATATGTTAAGCAGATGTACTTGAATGAAAGTGTATCCATCATTTTCAATAACCCTGTATGCTTGGTAATTCACACATAAAACCACAATAGTTGCGCAATGTTGATTTAAAAAATGCTGTATGGAACAGTCGAGGTGAGTTAAGTTGAGTCAAGAATTGACATCACAGCACTAGGGGCATTCCCATGCATGCTCTGTCTTCATCTTCAACAGCCAGCGCAGAGTTCCAATACTGATGGTACCGGTCACAATCTGGTTATATGTCCCTATTGCCTTTAGAGTGTAGTGAGACGGCCAGACCCTCTGGTTACACCCAGGTGCCTCATTCTCTCCAGGCAATAATAATCTTCTTTCTCTGCTGATTCTGTTGCTTGTTTCCAAAGGGCCTTGACCACATCTGCCTTGTCATGTATCATTTCACCACCCACTGGTGCAGATCCAGCCAGTCTGTCTGTCTGTTCATTACCCACCACGCCGGTATGGCCTGAAGAAAAGATCCAAAGTATGCTCACTACCCGTGACCTTTCCAGTGAAGCCATTGCGTTTTGGTGCTAAAGGAGTTAAAATGTCCAAACTGCATTCATTTTTTGTTTCAGCCTTAGTTGCTCCTCATGCTTGTTCTGTGCAATATTCTCAGGGAAACACATGGGACATTTGGCAATGTGAGGAGCCTGATTATGGAGGAGTTTGTGAGGCAGGCATACCTGGAAGTTGTCCCTCAGCCAAACACAGATCCACCCATCAAAAATATCTGCTGGGGTCAGAGAGCTAAATATGAGCTCACAAAAACAAATGCTTTGGATCTTGTGTGCCAGGTAAATTGTAGTCTGTTTCTGATTTTTAAATTGTGACTTGCAAAATATTAACTTTCAATACTGTTTAGTGAGGAGCGGCTGGCTAAGTGATTAAAAAAGCAGAGCTCTCATCTGTAGACTCAGGTTCTTCTTCTTCTTCGCGTTCACCAGCTGTAAACTCTGGCGGAAAGTTTTGGTTGTTCATTCGCTTCTTGACTGCAGTTGTGTTCCAGAACCTGAGTGCTGCATGTGCACCTGTTTTACAGATGCAGACTGCTGGTTCCTTTTCTCTCAGGCAGATGCACTCTGACTTTGAAGGAAGCTCCCAATTAGTCGACTCTTACGACATGCTTTTGTGTAGGCAGTTGGTCTATTCTTGTTTCCCCTATAACAGGGCTCCAGACCCACACGGGGAAGACCCAGGTTCAGATCCTCAATAAGTGACATGGTGATTTCGGTCCCGTGTGAGGGGAAACTTAAGGCCTTGTGATGTGTATGAGATACTCTGTACTTCGCCTCAGGTTCTAGCAGGCCTTGTGCTGGTTTTACAGATCCTCCTGCAAGACTCCTGCCACACGCCTACTGCGTGTACTATGGATAATGGGTCATACTGGCCCTAACCAAGCTGCCAGGGGGTCACAGAGTTGGTAGCACCCAGAGATGCAGTGTCCAGAAACTGTCTTTCTCTCTTCAGCCCACCCCCAATGTATGGGTGATAACGTAAGATAAAAACTTATTTGGAACATGAGTAAAGCCCCCTGGCCGAATATCCTACTATATGATAAATCTTGGTTCAGGTGTCTGGCGACCGTAAGTCCTTCTGAAATGCTGATTAAGCTACATCAGTCAAGTGTTCTATGGCATAATGGCAGAGTTTGATATGTCTGTCAGTCAGTTGTTGGGGTGTTGTAACCACCCGTACAGCCACCTCCTTGCTAACTGCTGAGGCTCAGTCCTGAACCATGAGATTTGTTTGCAGCTTAGACAAGCAGCATCTCATGCGGGCGATGTCTTGCAGTTCTGTCGCACAGCGAAGCCTTAGACGTCTGGCAAGATGTGACCGACAAGGTACAGATGCCTGCTAACAGTGGTCACACTCGTATAAGTGTTTGGACCAAAAGTCCGATTGGCAGTCAAGTCTCAGATGTCCAACAATAAACTGTCCTAATTGACAGAAAGGTCAAAATTTCTGCTACCATTGGCCCAACTCATCGGATTGTCAGATCAATAGGGGAAGCAATGCCGGATGCATGCTTTTCCTATTCTGTTGTGATTTCCAGCTAGGCTGGGATTAATCTGCGCCTTTCATATCCAGACATCCAGTCCAGTTTAAGCAAACCCTTAATTAGTATCCTCTTATGACATATTTAAAAGCAATGGGTCTATCCCCCCACACCCCTAAATGGGGCCCCAAAACCCTTATGGAAAATTATATTATTTAGTCATATCATTTTATTTTCTGTTGTCATTGTAGATTACTGAGACCCAGAAAGAAGACTGGTTAAATCAGTTGCAGGAAGTGAGAGATGAAAATCCAGAAGAGCCACCTAACACTCAGACACAAGAACAAAGCAGCTCAGCTGGCAGACGTAAATAACACCAGCGATAGGCCACATGGTTCCACCATAGTTTCTGTCTCTGTCAATGGTTTTTTGAACCTGGAGACCTTATAGACATCAGAGGTCCAGCTGTTGGGCAAGAATAGACTGAAAGTTGACTCAATTTTGTGAGCCATCTATAGCATTGGTGAAGAATGGTAACAGTTAATTACAAAATGAACTGTGTTTGCTGTTCCTTAATTTGGTTGACATCTTGTGAAGTCAGTTTTAGTTTCTCAAGCTCAGCCTCGGTCTTTGTGAACCAGGGAACAATGTAAGTATCAGATGTCCAACAGTTGTACAAGGATAGGCTGCCCAACAGTTGTACAAGGATAGGCTGTCCAACAGTTGTACAAGGATAGGCTGTCCAACAGTTGTACAAGGATAGGCTGTCCAACAGTTGTACAAGGATAGGCTGTCCAACAGTTGTACAAGGATAGGCTGTCCAACAGTTGTACAAGGATAGGCTGTCCAACAGTTGTACAAGGATAGGCTGTCCAACAGTTGTACAAGGATAGGCTGTCCAACAGTTGTACAAGGATAGGCTGTCCAACAGTTGTACAAGGATAGGCTGTCCAACAGTTGTACAAGGCCGAGTGTGCACTAAGTTTTGTGAGCAGTTTTCAACATTGATGATAGCAACATTAATAGCAAAATGAACTCTCTTAACTGTTCAGATGTTGATATCTTCTGCTCCATGTCAAAATGGTCAAGCCTTTTGCCTCATGCTTCGAAGCTTTTGTTTTTTCCAAGGGTGTATCAGTTGGTTCCACGCCTTTAGGCTTATAGGGCTAGACCTGTATTTTATAGACCAATCAGCACAAGATGGGTGATGTGGTCAGCATCACGCCGGTAGCCTTTACTTCCCGGGACTAGTTGGTTCTTGAGTGCAGTTCTTACAGGTCTCCATGGGGATCCTCATTGTAGCTGTGGAGTTTGTGCTTTGTAAGATTCTCTTGGCAGGCAGCTAGCCGTTCTGTGGAGAGAGACAGAGACAAAGAGAGAAAGCTATATGGGAAAACCTGGTGCTGTGAAGTCAGTCCTCTCGAATTTAACATTGCTCAGTTAGTTTCTCAGTCTCTCAGCCTGTGGTGTTTGCTCAGTTAGTTTTAGTTTCTCAGTCTCTCAGCGTGTGGTGTTTGCGTAGTTAGTTTTAGTTTCTCAGTCTCTCAGCCTGTGGTGTTTGCGTAGTTAGTTATAGTTTCTCAGTCTCTCAGCCTGTGGTGTTTGCTCAGTTAGTTATAGTTTCTCAGTCTCTCAGCATGTGGTGTTTGCGTAGTTAGTTTTAGTTTCTCAGTCTCTCAGCCTGTGGTGTTTGCTCAGTTAGTTTTAGTTTCTCAGTCTCTCAGCGTGTGGTGTTTGCGTAGTTAGTTATAGTTTCTCAGTCTCTCAGCCTGTGGTGTTTGCGTAGTTAGTTATAGTTTCTCAGTCTCTCAGCCTGTGGTGTTTGCGTTGTTAGTTATAGTTTCTCAGTCTCTCAGCCTGTGGTGTTTGCGTAGTTAGTTTTAGTTTCTGAGTCTCTCAGCCTGTGGTGTTTGCTCAGTTAGTTTTAGTTTCTCAGTCTCTCAGCGTGTGGTGTTTGCGTAGTTAGTTATAGTTTCTCAGTCTCTCAGCCTGTGGTGTTTGCGTAGTTAGTTTTAGTTTCTGAGTCTCTCAGCCTGTGGTGTTTGCTCAGTTAGTTTTAGTTTCTCAGTCTCTCAGCCTGTGGTGTTTGCGTAGTTAGTTATAGTTTCTCAGTCTCTCAGCCTGTGGTGTTTGCGTTGTTAGTTATAGTTTCTCAGTCTCTCAGCCTGTGGTGTTTGCGTAGTTAGTTTTAGTTTCTGAGTCTCTCAGCCTGTGGTGTTTGCTCAGTTAGTTTTAGTTTCTCAGTCTCTCAGCGTGTGGTGTTTGCGTAGTTAGTTATAGTTTCTCAGTCTCTCAGCCTGTGGTGTTTGCGTAGTTAGTTATAGTTTCTCAGTCTCTCAGCCTGTGGTGTTTGCGTAGTTAGTTTTAGTTTCTGAGTCTCTCAGCCTGTGGTGTTTGCTCAGTTAGTTTTAGTTTCTGAGTCTCTCAGCCTGTGGTGTTTGCGTAGTTAGTTTTAGTTTCTGAGTCTCTCAGCCTGTGGTGTTTGCTCAGTTAGTTTTAGTTTCTCAGTCTCTCAGCCTGTGGTGTTTGCGTAGTTAGTTTTAGTTTCTGAGTCTCTCAGCCTGTGGTGTTTGCTCAGTTAGTTATAGTTTCTCAGTCTCTCAGCCTGTGGTGTTTGCTTAGTTAGTTATAGTTTCTCAGTCTCTCAGCCTGTGGTGTTTGCGTAGTTAGTTTTAGTTTCTCAGTCTCTCAGCCTGTGGTGTTTGCTCAGTTAGTTATAGTTTCTCAGTCTCTCAGCCTGTGGTGTTTGCTCAGTTAGTTTTAGTTTCTCAGTCTCTCAGCCTGTGGTGTTTGCCAACTGTGAGACTACGTAAATATCAGATGTCGAACCATTGTTCAAGAATAGGCTGAATGTGATCTCAATTTTGTGAGCAGTTCACAGCATTGGTAAAGAATGTAGCAAACTTCATCATCATCATCATCATCATCATCATCATCATCATCATCATTCCCTAACACTATGTGTCGTTGGGTCACCAGTTTCTGTTGACTGTCTAATCATCTCTTTCCACCTTTGGCGGTTAGCTGCAATGGCCTTCGTGGTTGCATGCTTTAGGCCTGACCAGTAAGTCAGGTTCTGTAACCAGGTCTTTCTTGGTCTGCCTCTTCTCCTCTTTCCCTCTACTGAGCCCTGCAGTATTGTTTTTGTGAGGCCATTAGATCTTATTACGTGTAACAGTGTTGGAGAGAGGCGGCAGCTCTGCCAGACTCCTACTGTTGTTCGGAACCAGCTTCCTATTTGTCCATTCAGTGAGACAGCACTGCTTCGGAACCAGCTTCCTATTTGTCCATTCAGTGTGACAGCACTGCTGGCCTTGGCATAAAGATGTTCTTTAGTAGGTATGAGGGTTTTACCCATATTGTACTTTTTTAGTGTCTCAGAATGCTGCATGTCATACTCTATCAGAGGCCTTTTTGAAATCATTGAACACATGGTTTAGATGTTTTTGGTGCTGGTGGTATTGCTCAGATAATGAAAGTAGCAAACTTACTTGGAAACAAAATTAATGGTTAATTAATTTTATTGACACTTGAACTGTATCAGAAATATGTAGTAAGTATTAAAACTTCCATGGTTACCATGTGGTTATCTTGAACTTCCAGTCGTACGAGCCAGAAAGCACTCTGCTGATGTCTTCATCCTGAACAGACACCAGAACATGTCTTGCATACTTGTCCTTTCTTAGAAGAGCTGCGAAACGTGTGGTTTCATTCAGTAGTCCTGACAACTAAGCTTAGGGTAACCTGAGAGATCTTGAACTGAAATCCTGGTTTGTGGCCCACAATGGATTAAGCGAA